GGTTATGGTGGCAATTCGGCTCTGATCTGTTTGGCTAACAATGGGAGGAGGGCTTGACACCTTGCTCTTAGTAGAACCAGGCATCCCCCCACCCCCAAAAGAAGAGACCGGGGTTAAAATGTCCTGACAATCACTTGCTGTCTGGGTAGTTCCTGAACCACAACAACCTGCAAACAACCACAAAACCTCCGTCTCCCCCAACCCCCTTATCCCATCCCTGCGTTGTAAGGCCGTGGAATCATCTTCCATCAAAGTTTTATTATTTCTTTGCTGTGATCTTCAAATTCACACTTTGGTAACAACTTGCCAAAAACTTTGCATCTGGGTTTATAGTTTTGTCCCTGCAGTTTTCTGTTGACTACGAACCAGAGATTGCAAACTGTAAAAACTTGTTAATGACACAAGACATGGGTGTTGGCATGTATTTAATGAATAAAAAAAACTGTTCACACTAAGAGCGATAACTGTAGCGATAACTATACAATATTTCTATTAGACATTACTATAGTGCCCACACCAATGAACAGTAAGGTTCTGTTTATTGTAATTAAGCACATTAAAAGGTCGTCTGGCATTTTAAGTGCTCAGACTCTTCTGGATTCTAATTGGCTGCCAATGTTTTTATAGTTCATTAGCTGGAAAAAAATCGATTCCATTTAAATTGTTTGTCTGTAGCCGAGGGGTGGACTTCACTATTCTCATAAAATTCAAATGATAGTTAAAACTTTATAGTTATCAGCCTCAATATGAATCGGCGTTAAGTGTGCCCCTGTTTTTGGTGTGTTTAGGCCCATTCACACCACAAACGATAACTAAGAAGGTAACTGTAATGATAACAGCATCCACTTAATAATAATAATTAATTCCTTACATTTATATAGCGCTTTTCTGGGTACTCAAAGCGCTTTACATTGTGAGGGGGGATCTCTTCATCCCCCACCAATGTGCAGCATCCACCTGGATGATGCGACGGCAGCCATATTGCGCCAGAACGCCCACCACACACCAGCTTATTGGTGGAGAGGAGACAGAGTGATGACGAATATGAATGTGGGGATGATTAAGAGGTCATGATGGTCAGAGAGCAATGGGCCAATTTGGCCAGGATGCCGGGTTACACCCCTACTCTTGTCTTCATTGTACAATAACGTTCCATCGCTTTATTATGTGTGTCTGTCACTTTATTTTGCTCGAGCTGGAGAGATTCTGATGGGCTGTCTATGTTTTTATCCTTCATCAGCTGGAAAAATTGTTCTGAATGTATTCCAACAACATCGCTCTTCTGTATCGTTACCATTGTAGTTGTGGTGAAGACTAGTCTCATAGAATTCAAACCGTTATTTAAACAGTTTATTTTATTTATTTTTTTTGCATGGCCTCATGGGATAGTAGGCTAAAATGTCCACCAGATTCCTAAATCTCCGAGGCATAATACACTCTTAAAAATAAAGGTGCTTCACGATGCCATAGAAGAACCTTTTTGTCTAAATGGTTCCATAAAGAACCTTTAACATCTGAAGAACCTTTCTTTTTCACAAAAGGTTCGTTGTGGCGAAAGAAGGTTCTTCAGATTATAAAAAGGTAAGAAAGAGATGGTTCTTTAAAGAACCTTTGACTGAATGGTTCTTTGTGGAACCAAAAATGGTTCTTCTATGGCATCGCTTGAAGAAACTTTTGAAGCACCTTTATTTTTAAGAGTGTAGGTCTTCTCGTACGGTTTTATGAATAAATTGATAGGCTACTACTTATTTTGCTTACTATTTTCTATAGATCTTAGTCAATTTAGATGCCATATTAAGTTAAACACAGATGAAAACGAGGCTGTGGGGATAGACTTCGTTTTTACAATGGCACACACTGTATAAAGGTCGTAGATCATTTTTACAACTCACAACTTTCAATATTGTTTTATGACTGCTCTGGTCTACCAACATTTTTATTTATTTTTAGTTTCCACAGAAAGACGTTTTGTCACCTGAACAATCTGTTAAACAATGTACAATCCATTGAACACACAATGCACTTCTATCCCCGCAGCCTCATTTTCATCGGTGTTAAACTTAATACGGCATCTAAATTGACTAAGGACTGTAGAAAATAGTAAGCAAAATAAGTAGTATAAATTAATTACAAAACAGTTATGTTACAAGTGAAACGCGTGTGTAAAAAAAACACTTTTATGTGTAGGCCTACATCTTTAATTTTATGTTAGATAATTTTATCATGTTTATTAAACATATCAAATAGCCTAGATCAAACAAAAACAAAACTGGATTTGTGCCACTAACATTAAAAGTCATAGCTTTATTCATTCCAGTTATTCCTGCAAAAATTGTTTGCCATGTTAATCTGTCAAAAGTTCTATCTGAGGTTTAGTTAATAGGCCTGTATAATTTATAAAGTAAACACTATAGCAAATTTTAACAAACTGTCAGCAAAGATAGGAAGAACAAGAATAAGTAATATCTCTGTAAACTGACAGGGCATCTTCAATAAAGAAGCACCCTTTAGGCCCGTTATTTGCTCTAGCAGCTCTCTACTCACAGTTTCAGTCATTAACAGTGTTGGGGAAAGTTACTTTTAAAAGTAATGCATTACAATATTGCGTTACTTCCTAAAAAAGTAACTAATTACGTTACTTAGTTACTTTTTATTGAAAGTAATGCATTACGTTACTTTTGCATTACTTTTTAAATCTGAGCTGGGCTTGCTTGTTTGCTTTTAATATAAAAAGTTATATTTTTGGCAAATATAAAAGCCGTTTCACACCAAAAGCCTCAGGCTGAAGGAAATGTAAATTCACGTCTGTACAGTATACAGAGAAGAAGAACGTTCAACACTCTTCAGCAATAAAAAAAGAAGAAGAAATGTTAGTTTATCTTGTGTAATTTTTGCTTATTAGCAGTGTTGGGGGTAACGCATTACAAGTAACGCGAGTTATGTAATCAGATTACTTTTTTCAAGTAACTAGTAAAGTAACGCATTACTTTTTAATTTACAAGAGAATATCTGAGTTACTTTTTCAAAAAAGTTACCATATGAAATACCTCAATTAATTGACAGCTCTCCTGTCCCCATGTTGAGGAATCAGAAGATGTTACTGTAGTTCTAAAATAAATATGAATATGCATTAATTCAAATCACTCACAAAAAAAAAAAAAAAAAAACAATTAAGTATCCCACAAAAAAAAAAAAAAAAATGCAACAAAGAATATGACGAAACCCTGCCATAATTAAATGTTAAACAACACAAATATCCTTTATGTATTTAATCCCATTCTATTAACCAATGTCTTTGCTTCTGACCTTCGATGATCCAGTTCAACCGTACTAATAAGCAAAAATTACTCTAGATTATTTATTCACTTCACTTTTGGTGTGAAAAGGCTTTTATATTTGCCAAAAATATAACTTTTTTATTTTATAAACAAACAAGCAAGCCCTGTCCAGATTTTAAAAGTAACGCAAAAGTAACGAAACGCATTACTTTCCATAAAAAGTAACTAAGTACCGTAATTAATTACTTTTTTATGGAGTAACGCAATATTGTAATGCATTACTTTTAAAAGTAACTTTCCCCAACACTGCTTATTAGTACGGTTGAATTGGATCACCCAAGATCAGCAGCAAATTGGTTAATAAAATGGGATTAAATACATAACGGATATTTGTATTATTTAACATATTTAATTATTGCAGCTTTGAGTCATATTCTGAGTTGCTTTTAACCGTTTTTATTAATTTTTATTAATAAACTAAATCTAATTTTTTTTTTTTTTTTTGTGAGTGAGTGAGTGAGATGAATTAATGCATGTTCACATTTATTCTAGAACTAAAGTAACATCTTACTCCCGATTTCTCTCAACAAGGGGACAGGAGAGCTTTCAATCAATAAATGCGGGAAAAAAGTAACTGGCGTTACTTATTTGAAAAAGTAACTCAGATATTTTCTTGTAAATTAAAAAGTAATGCGTTACTTTACTAGTTACTTGGAAAAAAAGTAATCTGATTACGTAACTCGCGTTACTTGTAATGCGTTACCCCCAACACTGTTAATTAAGGGCTATTGACGCCATGAACGAAAGGAAAAGCGAAACGAATCGGCGACGAATTAATAGAACACCATCTCTTCTTTACTCGCGGTCATTCTTTGAAGCGCTATGATCATGAGGGAAGTCTCCATTTCTTTCTTTCTGAAATCTGGAGACCCCATGCGGAGCTTTACGACGTTACTCAAAAACCCCTCAGATCTGAAAACTTAAGCCACTGTGGTGTCTCGTTTTTATCTCAAGTCCCCAACTGAAGCCTCGGCCGGGCAAAATGGGCTTTTAATCTGTTCTATTAGCTGTTTTTAGTCCAGAAATAAAACCACAGTAGGCCTATTCGTCCAAAATGTCAGTGTTTTGGAGAAACTGCAGTTATTGTAATAGCCTACATATTTGAGCAGAAAACAACAAAAAGAAAACAAAAGATAATTTTGTTTTTTTTAGGAGCTTTACGACGTTACTCAAAAACCCCTCAGATCTGAAAACTTAAGCCACTGTGGTGTCTCGTTTTTATCTCAAGTCCCCAACTGAAGCCTCGGCCGGGCAAAATGGGCTTTTAATCTGTTCTATTAATTCAGAAATAAAACCACAGTAGGCCTATTCGTCCAAAATGTCAGTGTTTTGGAGAAACTGCCGTTATTGTAATAGCCTACATATTTGAGCAGAAAACAACAAAAAGAAAACAAAAGATCTTTTTTTTTTTTTTTTAATGCCAATAACATATTTCAAAATATCTGTGTGACACTGGTCTGTTGTGTTGCTGATATGGCCATGTAATAAATGAGCACTAGAATTATTTTCCCACAAGAATGTAAGATCTATCTACTTTTCTCCATCGCGCTCCAGTCTGTCCAATCTCAGAGCTCCTGTGAGGCGCTGCGTGTATCTGGAGGTTTAGGTCCATCCCCTTCAGCAAAAGCTATTTAGTCAACAGCTGAGCGTGACCACTGACCAGAGCAGCAGTTGAGTGAAGGATCAGCACTAACTAGCAGATTTCACTGTGGAGACAGACAAAGAGATGATGTATTAATGTTTTGAAGCTTCATACGAGGATTATCCGTATTTACAGTTACAGTTACAGTTTCACACTGGAAGTCTCGAAGGAAAATCTTGTGTGAGAACCTATGGAAGAGAGTGCCAGACACTTTGAACACGGACTGTAGATGTCTTATGTTTATGCTTTGTGGTTATGAACATTAGTGGGTTTTGAGTACAAGAGACTCGTTGTATTATTCTATCCCAAACACTGAGGAAATCTCCTTAAGATGAAGGGAGTAATGGCAGCACTTCAACTCTGTTTGTGGATCTTGGCTGTAAAGGTGAGCTATTCGTTCTTCTGCTTTACAGTAGCTATCTTATATATATGACATTTAAACTCGTAACAGTTCGTTTAGTTTTTTAGTTGAGTTCGGTTGGCTGTAAACACAGTTTTCACTGTTCATATTTTCCAACGTTACTAGGTCTTTCCAGTTGCTTTTTAATTAGCCTACACGAGCGCGGTGTAACACTTTGTTGGTTTACGTCTGTAACGTCTATAAAGTGTATTTCTTTCGCTATGCATCTCACAGTTTTGATATGGTTTTTCCATGTCTGCTTTCGAACTGAAATACTTTAGAAATCCACAACTTGTGAATGTAATGTCAATTAATGTAAAGGTCATAAAAGTGTGCTGTTACAACCTACTCGTTGTAACACTAATAAAGTTTATTGTGGTAATTAAATGTACTTGTCCAAAATAATTAAACTACACCCACCCTTATTTCATTTTAAACAATTTTATTGAAACACGTAGGGCATTTTAATTCAACATAAATACAAAATGTAAATAAATGCTGAGACAAAAAAAACAAGCAAACAAGCTCATGTCTCTAAAACTAACAGACCAAGTGTGTTATTTTGGCAAGTGTGGCATATAGAAATACATTGGATAGTGTTACAAGTGTTACAATTAATGTTATAGTATCACATTAATCAGGAGAATCTGATTCAGATGACACCTCGTTCATTTAGCATTCTTTAGCATATTCAAACAATTAAATAAGTCGGACATTGAAGTCTATTTTCTTACCTCAAAATAGCTTGTTTCGTTTTTGTTAAACTGAAGGTGTTACAATTCAACTGCGTTACAACAGCCCGCATTCTCCACTAGGATGTGTTTTGAACTAGCATATTAATTAGTCTGTCAGGGATTCCATATGATTGATGATATGTTTTTTGCAAATGTGTTGTATTATGCAGAATGTTATTTTTCGGTACTTGTGTGGATAATATGTTCCTTTTATGATTCGTTTTTACACCGCATATTGCCTGGCACAAAAGTAAAGTGGTCAAGGACAGGAAAGTAACACCCTTTGTCTCTTAGGACGTGCATAGCACAACGTCTGTGCTTTTTTTTATCACACTGATTCAGTGTAATATCCTGATATTGTTCACAGTGAGTATAAAATGTTTCATATTTACCATCCAAATGGAAAGATATCTCATCATGTTTTCCAAATGACACATTATGCTCCAAGAAATACGCCCTGCAGATGTCAACGCAGAGTCAAGTGGCCTTGTGATTTATTCCTGTTAAACCGAACACCAAAATAAAAGGCTGCTTTGTCACTCCAAATGAAGACCGTAAATCACAAAACAACTGGTTTGTCTGTTCTGCCACTTGTTACACAAAATGAAAACGATGAACATTTTTGCTTGATGATTCTGCACTCTTTTCAGGTCAGTGGTAGTTAATGCATTAAATGCTACTGGCCTGATCCAGATCCATGTCTCCTGGTGTGTTCAAACAGTCTGTGGGGGAGCCAGGGATAGCAGCAGACCAACCCCCCCACGTCTGTTGGTTGATAGGCAACCACAGCTTAAGCACTGCTGGGGCCCGGGATATCCGGAGCATTGTAATTATCATCATTTTCTCTTGGTCTGTGGAGAGCGAGAGGGTAGAATTTGCAGCTCAGTAATTTGACTTTCTATTTAGCCACATCACTTTACTTCTTTCGGTGGGGGCAGAATCGCGGTTTCCTCTTGAACTCACAACCTCGGTTTTTTTTCTCCCTTCTCTCTTGTTCCCGTCTTATTTTGATAGAGAAGCCCACTGTCTCTGGCGGCAGACTGACACTTTTGTAAATGGTCTTGAAGTTCTACAGGCCCGAGGCCATGTTTAGCCTGCCATTTAATGTGTTCTGACTCATTTGTGAAACGTAGCTTCTGCTCCTGTTGGCTGCAGTGAGATAAGATAGCGGTCAGTCACTCGGTCTCTAGCTCAGTCTCAGTGGATGTCTATGGTTATATGTTTGGTTGGTGGGGGTGAGGGGTCAATCACTGTTGCTTCCTTCCTCATCATTCTCTTTCCAAACTCACTCATGGGCAGCACACATGTGCTCATACATTATATTGTACAGCAGTGGACTTAAGGCAAGACAACCCAGGTGAAAAAAACTAATAGATATCACTAAGTTGATTGATAACATTAATAATTGCAAAAGTTGTTTTAAGCTTATGGCATTGTATAATTAAATATGTACTGATTTCCATACATTTTCCAGAACAAAAAAAACCTGAAGATTGAATAAAGCCAGGTTCAAAATTCTTGTTTCATTTTGTTGGCATATTAGAGTTTTTACAATCGGGATTTTGGATATATTATTTAAAAAAAATATTGGATTTTTTTTTTAGAAGATTGCCTTTAAAATATGTATTTTAATTTAAATCAATAGATGCAATAAAATTATTTGGATGTTACTCTGAATGAAGACATGTTATTAAAGCAAAATATGCCGAAATCTCAAAACTGACAAGAGAATGAAAAAAACAATGTTTTTTTGTCTGTAGTGTCTTGCCTTAAAAGGATAGTTTACCCAAAATGTAAATTCTGTGATCATTTACTCACTTTCATGTCATTCCAAACCTAACTTTGTTTCTTCTGGGAAACACACAAGACATATTTTGAAATGGTTTGGACGCTTTTGACTTGAACAAAAACAGTTGAGACATTCTTCAAAACATCTTCTTTTGTGTTCTGCAAAAGAAAGTTATACGTATGGATGTACAATTTTCATTTTTGGGTGAACGGCCTTTACAAAAGATCGCTTCATTCAGCAAGTGTGTGTGTGGTGTGTGTTTGACCTACATTTTGGGAACCAGTCAACAGTAAATGTGGCATCCAGACTGACATTGTCCCTCAGAGGAGGGAACAAAATGTTTTGGTAGATCAAAGATGTTTTGTGTGAAGTGGCTTCATTCAAATGTATTATCTCTCTGCATTATGTGGAATCAGCACTTAGGCTGGAAGTGTCTGTAATGTTTATGCCCCCCTCCCTCCCTCCCCTCCTCTTCTGAGCTCTACATTCCTGCCTCTGCCCAAATGTTTATAGGTGATATATCATTTGTTTGCACTTTGTACATTCTATTAAGCTAGACTTAGGTACAAATTATATAGTGATATATTGTTATGGAGGATGTTAAGATCCCCCCTAAGCTTACTGTGTTTGGGGAGTATTAAACACCATATTAGGAAACTGACAAAGAAAATTCCAATGATACTGCTCAGAAATTTATCTCTGTCTGTCTGTGACTTCCCTTCCTTTCGGAGAAAATATTTATTTTTCTTTTGTGTTTAATATGTATTCTTCATATATACAGTATATATATATATATATATATAAAATTCTATATATACACAGTGGTGTGAAAACGTTTTTGCCCCTTACTGTTTTTCTTATTTTTTGCATATTTGTCACACTTAAAAGATTCAGATCAAACTAATTTTAATATTACACAAAGATAACCTGAGTAAATACAAAATGCAGTTTTGAAATTATGATTTCGTTTATTAAAGGAAAAAAGCTGTCCAAACCTGCCTGGCACTACGTAAAAAAAGTAATTGCCCCCTAAATCTGTCACACTTAAAAGATTCAGATCATCAAACAAATTTTAATATTACACAAAGATAACCTGAGTAAATACAAAATGCAGTTTTGAAATTATGATTTCGTTTATTAAAGGAAAAAAGCTGTCCAAACCTGCCTGGCACTACGTAAAAAAAGTAATTGCCCCCTAAATCTAATAACTGGTTCTGCCACCCGTTGCAGCAACAACTGCAATCAAGTGTTTGCAATAACTGGCAATGAGTCTTTCACATCGTGGTGGAGGAATTTTGGCCCACTCTTCTTAGCAGAATTGTTTTAATTCAGCCACGTTGGAGGGTTTTTGAGCATGAATGGACTGTTTAAGGTCATGCCACAGCATCTCAATCGGATTTAAGTCT